GAGTAGCTGTTCTGCTGTTTCGGGCACGGGGTCAAGGCGACAGTTACTTTAGCCAAATGTTTTCTTTTTTCCAACAGTCTCAGTGCTGACTGCTGCTAGTTAACGAGGCCTGTAGAGAGAGGAGAGGTCTTGAAATAAATCGAATGTTTTTGGATAAATATGCTTTACATGATTATCAATGTATCACCATGTCTTTATATTTTTATGTGAACCGTTGCTTTTGAAGATTAGGAAGGACCCTGTGAGATATGTACAAATATCCGTCAGCTAATTCACATTATGCAGCCATATGCCCACAGGTTATGAAGGATTAGGAATGATTTCGCACTCAATTGAGGCCGCAGAGGGATTCAGAGAATCAAAGCCCCTCAGACAGGGACTATTTTAGGCTCCTGCTAATAGTTCTTGTCAGCCGTAATTTTTAAGTACTTTAACCAATTCATTGTATAATTAGGTTAACAAAATTAGCTCATTGCAAAGTCAGTCAGCAGGCAGTAATGCTATGAAGTTATTAACATTCCAGATTTATAGAGCCATTAATATGGAGGTGATCCGTCTTTATCACACTGTTCTTCCTCGGTAAAAATGGCATAAATTAATAACGGAAAATAGGCTATACAGTGGCGTGTTCGGTGTACTTTGTTTGTGTGTGTGCTTCATTACGCTCAGAGCTAAAGCTGGGAGAAAAATGATGTGTCAAATATGACAAACTGAAAGCGCATTTAGCAGAGAACGAGGAAAAATTAGAGCATTAACGTCCAAACGCTGCTTTAATAACAGAACAGGATATTATTGAAAACAAATGTGTGCATCTCAATCAAAGTCACTCACACATGAGTTCTTGTTTTACATGTTTGCGCTGAAACTACACAGATTTACACAATGCAGGTCACTGTGCGAACAGGTAAGTGAACTTAAGAGAGTTTGGAGTTCAGGAAACGAGAAATATGTGACCCGTCCTGTTTGTGCATCCGTCAATGACATTTACATCAGCCCTACTTACCTTATACACAAGAACACAGTTTTGTGTGTCTGCAGTTGTCCCAGGGGATAAGCCATCTTCAAATTCATGATCCTGACTTTTCTATATGAACCATCAGAATAAAATCCAGAAATACAATATTTAGATAGTCAAAAAAATGTTAAAAAAGTCAGAGTCCCCAGAGGCTGAATGCTGATAATGATGGTGACCCAGCAGGAGTCAAAACCTAAAAGGTCAAGTCAGAAAAATGTGAAGATTGGCTCATTAAGGATAAATATCAATTATTATTATTCTAAGTGTCAGTGTCTTTTGTAATCATGGTTTCTAGAAGATGAACCCAAATGGTTACCACTACCAAACTTCATGAGGATAGACCCACTCAGTTTTCTTTATGGTGGTTTTAAGAGGATGTCTCTTGTTGGTATGGTTTCAAGATCATGGACCCAGAAAATTTGATTTGCTGTGGTCCTGAGTGGTTGGACCCCAGTGACTTTTATTGGTCAGGTTTCAATAGGATGGACCCAAGTAACTTTCCTTGTTATAGTTCCAAGAGGATGGACTTTTATCATGTTAAACCCCAATTAGTCATGACAGTTTTGTGCAAGGATGATAGACTTTATTTACAATTGTTATCGTGGTTCCAAGAGGATAAACCTCAATGACCTCTTTTATTATGGTTTCAAGATTAGGACCCAAGAAGTAGAACACTGGTGAATTCTGCCAGTTTGGTTCTAGCAGGATGGACCCCATTGACTTTTTTTTTTTTAGTACGGTTCCATGACGTTGTACTCAAATAACTTTTTAACTTTTGTTCTAATCAGTGACTTTTTTTATTAAGGTTCCAAGAGGAAGGACCTCAATGACCTCCGTTATCATAGGCCCAAGAAGTTGAACCCCTATGACTCTAACCAATATGGCTCCAAGAGGATGGACCTTATTCACTTTTGTTGGTATGGTTCCAAGAGGATGGACTCAAAGGACATCTGTTCCTAGTGGTTCTAAGAGGATAAACCCTAATTACTATTGTTGTTATAGTTTCAAGAAGGTGTAACTCATTAACTCAACTGTTGGTATGGTTTCAAGAGGATGGATCTCATTAACTTTTCTGGTCGTGGTTCCAAGAAGATGGGATTCATTTACTTTTATTGTGAGTCCAAGACGATGAAGCTTGTTGACTTTTGTTGGTGTGGTTCCAAGAGGATGAACCTTAATTTCTTTTTGTTGGTTAAGTATGGCAAAGCCAGTGTAAAGGTGAAGAAAACTTAGGAAAATTTGGCAGTACTTTGATCCTTAAGTATCACTTCCTGTTTTCTAAGAACACTAATAGAGTCCTAATTGTGATGTGAATAGGAAATGTACTTTTTGGAAGTGTTAAGTCATGCCGATTCCACAAATGAACGAGCTCCTAATTTGATTTAGTGCGATATCAAAGACCGCTCGAAAATCTGTGTAATCTGTTGCTCGCAGGGCATTTCTCCCTGTTCTCCATGAAGACAATCATGTGGACTCGTAAAACCCGATTTGGTTTTTGCCCTGCGTCTGACAACAGAGTGAAGGATGACTCGTGACCATGTTTCCACCAGCCGCTCGCTTTCTTCTCTGCACCATTGCACTCGGGGAAGTGCATTTTTAGTTTAAATAAGGGGTTTAAGCATCACGTCCCGGCACTCTTACGGTCGTATCCCTCTCTGTAAAGATGTCGGGGGAGTCCTCTTTGGGGAAAGTTCCTCCTTGTTTCTCAGATCTTTGTTTCACGAGCTGGAAATTATACGACTCTCATCTATCATTGTGAGTTTTCCACATTTTCATGATCATTTTCATGATGGTGTGGTTTTATTTTAGACCAACCTTCAAGTTGAGTAAGAGCTCAGTCATATGTCAAACTTTTTATGTCCGACCTCATGAAGCGCCGCTTTTGAGATTGAGCCTCATGATTCAACGCTCATGATTTGTCTATGATTACTTTTTCTTCCTGAGGGTGAATCGTGTGAATAGATCTCTTCTGTTAGTCATGGGTGACAATATTTTAAGTGAATATCCCTCACTTTAATGCTCTTTGTTTATTCATAATTTTATCAAAAAAGCTTCATCGCAGCACATAAAGAGGCAGATAAATCCGTCATGGACTTCTGGCCATGTAACTGTTTATAAGTACGTAAAAGATCAATGTTTCTTGGAGTTGATTTGAACATTTTGTAAATTTTAATTGACGATAAAAGATTTTTTATGAGTATATGAAGTCAGACCTTGGGTTCAATGGGATGTTAAGTTTCAGTCTCCTGTGTGACGGTCTTTTATTTGTGTAAACCGTTTATTACTTCCTACTCGTCACCCCAAAAGAACTCTGCCGCAGTCAAAAAGGCAAAATTTTGCGCCACCGGTTTCCACTTTTTCCCTGAAATTATTGCTTTGACTACTGGAGTTCATAGCCGATAGTAAAGAAACACTGGTGGAAATAAACGGACATGTAGGCTCTTGTTTACAAGGGACGCTGTGGTACTGTGCCCACTTTCCTGACTTCTCCAAATAAAAGTAATAATTTAAAAAACTCCTCCTCTGATGAACTATGTTCGGACTTTGGCACCCCTTGTGGACAAAACAGTATTTGCTGATCCTGTCTTTAGAGTTTAGGGTTTGACAAACCCATGCAGCATCTTTGCAGAGAAGTCTGTCAAAAACTGCTGTTCCTGGTAATTAGCTTGTCTGACACCTACCTCAAAGCAGTCAATTCAGGCATTAAAAAAATCAATACAGGCATAATACATTTTTATGCTAATGCTCTTTTTTTGCTTTTGTGGGTCATGAAAAGACATCAGAATGAAGTCCAGTCAGTTTTCTACACAGATAAAAATTGATCACAGGAGCTTTAAAGGGATATTCCGGTGTAAATTTAATTTAGGGTCAAACATAAAGTAACACAGAGTTAGACACCCACTAGAGAGAGATGAATGTTGCCGACCACTTGCTTCTCTAGTTATACCAACTTTAGTAATGACCGCATGATAGCGATACACAGTGGTCTGAGGAGCCATAAACAAACCTTAACCAAAACGCCACTCTATAGCCACAAATAATGATCAGAGCAGCACCTAACTTCATCAACAATACATATAGGGTCCCAGCCACCAAACATCATTTTAACTTTGCCTAATTGCTTTAGTAAAGAGATTAAGCACAACTCACCCACTCTCTTCCAGCAGCTGCTTGTTTGTAGCGAGACCTCAGGCCAGTCCATGACCACAGCGGGGTGACACAGCTCAAGGAAGAACATTTATGATCATCTCTTTATCGTTTCCTTTAAGTAATAATCACCATATTAATCAATTTGCACTGCACACGGGGTAGTTCTTCTACTTTAGCGTCTCAGTCTGATTGCATTTCCATGAATAAATGAGTGGAGTTGTGATAAAGTGTACCTTCAAACAAAAAGAGGCATTTTGAAGCATACTTTTATTTTGAAAGGAAAAAAATATTAATATATTATTGAGATATAGAAAGCCGAGAAGAAACAAAAAAAAGCAATAAAAAAGAAAAACCTTAAAAAGTACATTAACATTTGAACACTTTAAAAATCATTTAAAATATGAAGTTTCAATAAATATTTCAATACATTTAAGCATGCAGATATATTTTCCTGATTTACATTTTCATTACAATATATTGCTATCCTGCGGTCGTCACTAAAGTTGGTATAACTAGAGAAGCACGCGGTTGGCAACATTCATCTCTCGAGGGGGTGTCTAACTCTGTGTTACTGTGTGTTTGACCCTTAATTAATTTTACGCTGGAATGTCCCTTTAAGTTCTCAGTCCTTTATGAATTTAGATATAATGCTTTAACATCCATTCTCTATAGTCGTATTTAATCAAAACAGATTCAAACACAGTGTCTACATGTCAGAAAATAAGTCAAAGAGAGGAGAGGCTGTCATGGAGGACGCCCCGCCCTCCTGCACCTCAGCCCCGCCCCCCTCATTAGTGATGCAGCCACCCAGCGGACACTTTGAAGTCTGTGCGCTGTGATCAGTGAGCTGCTGGAGTCCGGACTGAACACACTCACTGGGACGTGTCCTCCTCTCACACTTGGAGTCTACTGAGTAAAACCTTTTCATGCTTTTAAAAGAGGAGGAAGCTGTTTGCATTTAGCGCTTCATCTCACTCTGATCGGCTTTTTTCTTTTTGGTTTTAAAACTGGAATTAAACCGAAGATGCTTCAAGTGGACTGAAGCTTTTCCTCGTCCTTCTGGACATTTCAGGACGTCCAGTTGTGTTTTTCTCCCTCTCTCTCTCTCTCTTGGGGACATGATTGGCTAGATATTGTCTGCATGGATTACATTTAAACATCACCTGTGAACATTTCGGACTAACATTTGAGGCACGTCTCCGAAACGCAGCGCCCGCTCTCCAATGAAATATCTCCCCCCTGCTGCGGATCGACAAAGTACGCGGATCGAGCTCAGTGAGACCACCAACGGTACAAAGTCTCGTCCCGGTGCCGTGGTCTCCCTACTGACCCCTTTGGACCCTCTCCGGCAGGCAAAGCGTCTTCCTATCCGAGTGATCAAGATGTTGACTGCGCACACTGGACACTTGCTGCACCCGGAATATTTACAGCCTTTGACGTCCGCCCCAGTCAGCATCGAGGTATTTATGACTTTGAAATATACTGCACTTTTTTAATTCGCAGCGCAGTGTTCCTGGTGTCACAGCAGTGCGGTGAAAATGTAAATATAGCTCTAAATTTACTGCACTGTCTCAGGATATGACAGCAAACATAAATCTGTTGTTCCCTTGCAGAGAGGAGATATGTTTCATTGAACTTCAAAAGGCTCTCTAACTCTATCCCTGTTTTTAATAGGAAAACATATAACAAGCTTCTGATTTGAAGTTATAAAGAATAAAAATATACTTTTATATCCTTTAAAGAGCTATTTTAGCATAAAAAGGTGGTCTTACAGAGACTGAAACGGCAGCTTCTCTGACAAGATCACAGATTTGCAGTTTTTTTTTTTCCTACGATTCTTCACCGTGAACACCGATATCGGTTTTCCAACTGCTGGTGCCGATAATTGAAAAGCAGGGTGGCCGATTTTTTTATATAACAATTTCATTATGTATTTCTCATCAAAAAGGTGAAACTAAATGTCAAAACTCAAATGATTTTATTCTGATTATTAGTTATTGGCCCTCTCTGGTGTTGAACCAGCAAAATGTTGCCCTATATAATTAAAATGACTTACTATGTGTTACCTGCCATATGTAATTATTGAAACAAAGCAAATACAATTTTTTTTTTCAATTGGCATAATTTTACCTTTTGATGCATTTTACATCTAATAAACATGTTTATTTTACCCAGTTGCATGTTTTTTGATAGTTATTTTTTTTATAAATTCACAAAATAATAAAAAAACATTGGATTATGCACTAAATTTTAAACCATGACTAATACTGATGTCTGGAGCAACGCAAAACTGCATAATTGAAGATATTATACAAAAATTATTTTAAAAGCTAGCCAGTGACTGTTTGAAATTACATATGCTGTCAATTAAAATGGTTCAACAATGTTATCATTCAGAGAAGATGGTCGAGACTGAGGAAATTCAGGCCGACAGTGACAAGACTGCCTGAAGTGTCTGCAGACATTGTATGTTTGTTATTGTGATCAGCTAATGTCTATCTAAATAATCAGCCTACCCTCTCATATTAAAGCTCCTATAAGGAGTTTTTTTTACATTTATGAAATTTACTGAAATCCATAGTGATGCCTTTTTATGATATCCAAAAGCAAACAAGACGATCAGGGACAAGATTGATGATTTCTTTAAAATGATGAAGATTTCAATAAATGACAGATTCTTCTGTCAAAGGTCGTCAGGGTGAGATTTATTTCTAAAAGACATGACTTAAGGATGCAGAGTACAAGATTAGTAAAGACTGCTTTGTCCACCGGGGGGCGCCAAACTTGATACAACCATAAAGTTCCCATCAGGAGCTTTAAACTGCTTCATGTTTGCAATGAAAAATGATAATAAGAAGCAAATTTAATTTAAACAAAACTGTAAAAATTAACAGAAATTTGCCCTAATCTTGCTCTGGATCCTTAAAATCCTTAAAAAAAAAAAGACATTTTTTGTTTCATTTTTTCCATTTAACAGCTAAATAGTTTCTATGCAGTTATTTAGATTCCTAAAAGAGTCATTTGGAGCTGGTCCCTTTAGTTCTGGAACTCTGTGCATTTTTCACTGATTCTGTCATTTTATTACCAGAACATCAGCCATGAACATTGTTGTTTCATTGATTATTAATTAAACTGATACTTAAGGGCAGCCCGAGGTCAAATGAAATAAATATCATCATTTTATAAACTTGTAATTCAGAGGCTTTTAAGATAAAGTTGTTGTTGGCAGTCACATTTTTTCCCAGAATGTCTCCAGGGCTAATCATCATGATCTGCATTTTCTTCCAGCTGGATGCCAAGAAGAGTCCACTCGCCCTGCTGGCTCAGACCTGCTCTCAGATCGGCAAACCAGACCCTCCATCCTCCTCTAAGCTGAGCTCCTCCTGCAGCCAGGGGGACAAGGAGCCCGGCAGTCGCTCCTCCAGCCTGAAGCACGGCGAGCACCGCCCCTCTCTGGATGATAAATGTAGCTTCAAGCCTTACAACAAAGGCAGCGCGGACTGTCGCAGAGACGGAGTCACCAGCAGCAGCAGCTCGAACAGCAGCAGCAGTGATAAAGTGGGCTTTAGGGTGCCAAGCAATAACTCTAACACAAATGGGAATTCAACTACAGGCCAGCCGTCCTACCCGCCCCACCCTGCGTCACCGAGCTCCAGAGTGGGCAGCAGCACTCCACCTGGACACTCTCAGCCTCACAAACAGAGCCAGTCTCCAGGAGGACAGCAAACGTCACACTCTCAGATTACAAATGGAGACTCTGCGCATGAGCAAGGCAGTCCCACCAGCACGAGCAGCAATAACAGCCACCTGAAAAAGGACGCCGATATAAGCAAGAGGACCTCAGACAGTCCACATGATGCAAACTCCAGCCACGCTCGAGCCAGCACCAACTGCAGCAACAGCAGCTCTGATGGCGGCTCCAACCACGATGGGGGGAAGGCGGATTCTTCCCAGCCTAACCTCGGTCCTGGTCGCATTACTCCCATATCTCCCTACAAAACAAACCAGCCGCTCTTCCCTCTGCCGTCCTCTAATTTGGGCTACCACGGATCTGTAGTTGGGGCGTACGCGGGCTACCCGTCCCAGTTTGTTCCCGGGCTGGATCCGACGAAGCCGAGCCTCAGTGTGGGAAGCATTGGAGTCCCTGGAAAGCACCCGAGCTCCAGCCCTCTCACGGGTGCCTCCCCTCCCTCCTTCATGCAGAGTCTGTGCAGGGACCCCTACTGTCTAAGCTACCCCAGTGTGCCCCATCTCGGTGGGAGCAACTGCAACTCCTGCATCCATGACCCCTCCTCGTCTCTAAAATCAAACTTCCCATTAGTGTACCCCTCCCACCCGCTCCACTCCCTCCACCAAAGCTCTAGCGTCTCCTCCTCCCTCTCACACCCGCTCTACTCCTACGGCTTCATGCTCCCAAACGACCCCCTTCCCCACGCCTGCAACTGGGTCTCAGCTGCAGGGCCGTGTGACAAACGTTTCACCACGTCAGAGGAGCTCCTGGCTCACCTTCGCACACACACGGCTCTGCCTATAGGACTGGACAGTAAGCTGCTCTCTGTTTCCTCCTCTGGACCCGCCTCCTGCCACCTCCACCTCCCCCACCAGAGCACCCCAGGCTCCATGTCCAGCTCTCTCTCTCTCAGGGCTCCCCCCAGCCTGGGATTAGCTCGCTATCACCCCTACAGCAAAGTCCACCTGCCCCCTGGACCCTCCTCAATTTCCCTGCACTCTCTGCCCTCAACAGGCCCGTACTACCCTCATTATGCCCTCTACAGTCAAAGACTGGGATCTGCATCTGCTCTGGGCTACCAGTGATAAACCATTTTCTTATATGTTTGAAGGAATAGTTTGACATTTTGAGAAATAAGTTTTTGCCCTTTCTTATTGAGAATCTGGTGAGAAGAATGACACCTGACACGAGTATATTTCCTCAAAAGATTAGCCAGTTAGCTTAGCTTGAGTTAGCTTAGCTTAGAGCTAACACCAGAAATAGAGGGAAACAGCTAGCCTGGATATTTACAAAGTCAGCAAATGCACTTTCTAGCAACTCTTAAGCTCACACATGACCATGACAAAGTCTGTGAAGCATAAACAGTGTTTACGCTAGATTAAAGCTGATAGAGTCATGTGTATAGCAGAGTCAATCAACCCGTAAACACATTATTTTGGTACGTAAGTCCAGCTTTGATAAATTCGGCTGATTGAAATTTCTTGACAAACATTTTGACGTGTCCTTTTTAAGTCCAGTTGTCAGACTAACAGAAGAAGTAAATCATGTAAACACATTGATTGATTGACTAACATATATTCTTGTTTATACATAATGCAGTCAAGCATACCATGCTTTAATGTTTTTATTCCTCTAAACTATAAAAGTAACATCTTTCTTTGTTGAAAAAGTAGTTATAAATATAATTAGGGATTAAGAAGTTAGGCTTTTTTCATCCAGTTTCCATTTAATTAACTTTTTGAAATACTAGAAGGTTAGCCCCCTGCTGGTCACTGGAAAGAATGCAGGTTTTAAGGCCTGTCTGGACTGGCAACAAGGGCCTGTGTCCATTTTTTTAGACATTGGTGGTTTACTCCCAATTCTCTTTGGTATCAAACAGAAGGATGGTAAAATACTGTGAAAAATAGTGAGAGTAAGAGCTGCTGGTAGACTTACTGTAGAGCGAGGCTAGCAGCTCCCCTCTGTTTCAAGGCTGTGTGCTAAGCTAGGCTAACTGATTATGTCCCATAAAAAGTCATCTTTCCAAAATGTCAAACTATTACTTTGTGTTTGTACTCCGTTGTGGCGAGTTGCTGCTTCCACTTGACTTTGGACTGGATTCAAGTGGAACTGAAATGGGAGTGCAAGTCCTGGATTTTGACTTGAGTGCATTTTCACCCTTTCTTTTTTACACGTTAAAAACAAGATTTGGTGTTTTCAATCAGGCTCCACTGCTAAAGATCAAAAGGACTCATCATGTGGCTCTTGCATGTCTGCACATTGCTGGGATACTTTTGCGACAGACACGACTGCCCTTCGGAGACTCGTGCCGCCCTGTAGGCTCGGCAAATTGCTGGTTGGACGCTGTGTAATAGCACTTGGATGTTCAGGGTTGTCTCTGCAAATGATGATGATTAAGTGCAGAAAAATGTAGTGTGGCGCAGACGGCAATAAGCTGCAGCTGTGGACCTGTGCAAGTCCGGCCAAAGTCGCTTTCTCCCTGCTGGAGATGCATGAAAGCTCGACACACCTAACTGTTTATCCAGCCCCGCAGTTTGTGATGATTTCTTTCAGTTCCTTATGTTTTTGTTTACTCCTACTGAGAAGTTGTATTTATTTTTCATCGGGGATCAGGCTTTCTTTCATGTTTTCCACAGAAATCTATTCCCATTTTACTATCCTCGGAGGAGTCAAGCTGGATGACAGATGCTGAAAATGTCGTGTCTTAATACTTCTTTGAGGATGAATGTCGAAATCACATCTGAACTCTTTGGTTTGAGGATTTTTTTTTTATTTCCACAGCAAATCAATAAAAAATTAGATGTGATATTTTATATGTAAAGTCGGAACACCCCATGGTGGTGTCCAGTTTAAGGGGAGGTCATATTTTGCTAAATAAATCACATTGAGGATGTATATTTCTTTGTCTTCATTTGTCTTATATCACAGATTTATTTGTTTCTGCTTTCAGACATGCCATGGTAAATATTTGAAGAAAAATGTACTATAATAAAACTCTTAATAAGTTAGTTTTTATGCCGTAATCTAAAATCAGATTAGATAATAGTTTTATGTTTTTTGGGGATTAGTGTGAAACTTGCCTCTTGGAAGGGAGAGAGGCAAACCAAAATCACACCCAGAAAACTGCGGTATAATGTTACTTGAATGATATATATGGTTAAACCAATAGTGCATAATAGTTGTCCTTTATGCGGGTTGCCAAATGTCTTAAAACAGAGACAAAAAGCAGCTGCTAGTAGGCTAGCTTCAGCATCCCTCTCAGCTGATAAAAACTAACATTCAACAAATAATTTTGGGTCCAAAACAACAATTGAAGCTTATACTGAACATCTATAGAGAAAAGCAACCTAACATAAGACTGAAAACTACCAAAAAAAAAAGCATGATCAACAAACATTTTACGCAGCAATGTCATCTACAAAGAAGTTTTGGTTATTAGGTTGTTAAAGTGGATCAATCCTAATTTTGAACATTATTACAGATGGAAATTTACATTTATAAGTTAAGTTTATGCAATGTTTTGCCTCATACTTGTCTCGCTTTTTCTTCTTTTGACTAAATTGTATTGCGCAACATCTTTATTGTGATATTTCATGGCCACAATAATTATTTTGAACACCTGACACTGGCAGCCCTTGTACTTAGTTTGGTGTTAAGCAGAAAAGAAAAATAATATCCACAAAAACGTATATATAACTTATATATACTTAAATAAAAAAAGTATTTTCAATCTTTTTTTGTCTCGAACACATCCACATTTTTTAAGAAGATACAGATTGTCTTCAGAGCTAACACGGGCAGAGGCTACCATCTTACTCCGTCATTCTGCTACGGTAGCAATAAATGGAAAAACTATATGCCATACCAGAAATGCACCAGTGGGACAAGAGGGAATGGATGTCTTGTGCTTGAAAGAATATGATAGATATTTTTTATTTTAAAAAAGGAGTTTGACATGTGGAGGTTCATACCTATCACATATCATGAAAGCTGATTTTTCCTCAAAGGCCGCCGTAGCTCTCCAGATAAGAGGGGTGAGCAAGGGAGCTCTAGACTTTAACTGTTAGATATTCTCTTTTCTCCACGCTGTGCCTTTAAAATAGAAAATGTGAATGCTTCACGCCTATATGAATAAGACTTTAAAGCTGTAAGAGCAACTTTTTGAGATGATTTGACGCTGTAAAAGTTATTGTGACTTAATACAGAGTTGCTCTAAGTTAAAACCATCCTGTTGCAATGCATTTCTCCCTCACAAGGATAACAATGACCCATCCGGAGAGCGCAATATGCCACTAAGAGTGTAAAGTCTTCAGTCAATGAACCTTTGTGGGGTGATATGAATCAATGTTTTAGCCTGATCCTTTCAGTGAAAGCTGTGAAAGCAGGAAGTAAACCTTTGTCAGGAAACACGTCCGCCTGGCTCTCCTGCTTAGTGTGCGTGTAACAGCAGCTATTTTTACTGTGAAAGAGGAACATGATGGATGAGTCTCGGTGTGCTTTACTTCCACTTACTCCTCAGCGTGTCGACAGCGGCTCATAACCGGACCACAAGGATGCGGCTACTTGCATTCCTTTGTCCTGCAGTAAACAGAATCTGACCTTAAAGCGGCAGCATTTAAAGCTGCTGGATTTAGTGTTTGCCACAAAGACGTGCTGCATGGAAATGTCAGACTTATCAGGATGTAATGTATACACGCTGTAGCATCCTGATAGCAGCCTCCCTGGTCATCCTCAAGATGAAGACCTGACAGTCGCTCAAGTTACCCTCACCCGCCCCGTGATTGGCAGCGGTAATATGCCATTTCCTAGCAACATGACACTGTGACACCCTCAGCGAAGTATAGATGACCCACGCTGGTCAATCACGGCTCTGACAAGGGAGCCACAGGGGTCAAAACAGCCTGTCCCGGCTGTAACAGGAGAGAGCACTCCAGTTTCAGAGGTCTGAGACGCTCTGATGGGATGTCTGAGTTCGGCAGGAGGGCATGAGATACGCAGGGCCCACTCTGGAGGGTTTAGGTTACAAGATGCAGCCCGGAAAAAGACACACTTAGTTTATTAAGCATAAGAAATGAGACGACACAATATACGAGCTGTCACAGTTCACACTACTCTATCGTGGGTAATGTTTATAGAAGGATTCAGCCAAGTTTAGGTGGATCTAAATGTATACTTGCTTTGCACTCAGCTGTATTCACTGTAATAAAGGTGAAGTTAGATTTGGATACTATCTATTGGTGACCATCAAGACCTTTCTGTCGTTTTTGACATGACCAAAATGTTCGGATTGACCTTGGACCTCACATTCCCCGGTCTTTACATCATATCAAAGCAGAAATATTTGTATAGGAATAAATGTCAAAAAGTATAAGTTTTCAGGGTCCAGACAGAAAGTATCAGGGGATTTACAAGACTGAAATAGTTTAAAGGGAGCATGGTACTGCTGTCTTTCAATAAGAAGAGGAAAAGAAAGAGCTGGAGGTAGTTTCATGATGCTGTCGTCACTTTATTTGTGGAGTGATTTTTTTTATCCTAATGGTTTAAAACAACAAAAAAAACCTCATTATAAAAAGTCATCTGGATGTTTTTCACCACATTCACATACATTTGAAGCATTTTGATCAATCGTATCGTATCAAATTATATCATATTGTGTCGTCTTGTCTTGTCATATTGTACTGTATTGTAATGATATACTAAAGATATAATGGTAATCCTGGGCAGTGTATCCAGATTGTTCAGTATATCATACTACACAGTATCATATCCTTTCATATCATATTATATCATGTTGTTTGGTATCATATTGTATCGGACCGTCATGTCTTGTCTTCTCATATCCTAATGTATCATATTCTATCATAATGTATTTCAGTGTAACACACAAAGTCACAACATATCATATCACTTTCAGCCAAATTATACCATCTCATATTAAGTGATCTACTATCGTACTGCATCATATAATATTATTCCATTGTATTGAATAACACCCTGTCATAACTTAGCATATTGTATCATCCTGCAGGACCCCTAAACTTTTAAATTTAACTTTAATTTTGTCTAATTTTTTTAGGATAACAGGTAAAATATTTAACTTAAAACAATTAAAGTTCTAATACTATTTTTTTAGGCATCTCATGACCCCCACTTTAAGAACCACTGTCCTATTGTATCGTATTGTATAGTATCTTATTGTATAGTATTGTAACATATTGTTTCATATCATAACATGTTGTGTTTTATCTGACCACAATGTATCTTATCCTATCCTTTTCTATGATGTCATGTCGCATCACAACATATCGTATAATATCGTGACATATTTTATCGCATTGCGTCATATAGTATCATATCTAGCGTGTTATGTTTAATTGCATCGTATTGTTTCATAGCGTACCGTATTGTTACATACAAATTTTATTGATACATTTTTTAAACTTTTTTACTCACCACTGCCACTGTTACACCAACATGTTTTCTCCAGAATGAAACATCTGAACAAACATTGAACTGAGTTTAATAGACGGTTAGTTTTTACACATTCTTTCCCTTTTTTTTCTTTTTAATCACCACGGTAAAAAAAGTTTTCTTTGGACAAGAAAAACAAAGATGTTTCCAATCACCTCAGTTGATCTCCGTGTTTACTGTCTGTTTCCAAACAACAGCACACTGATGTAAGCCGGTTAACCTCATCCTTTGAGAAACAACAGATTTGCTTTTAGCTGAAAAGCACCTAAGATCAGCCGTAAAGAACCACCAGTGACTTGTTGAGTCATTCCCAAGTGAAACATGAGCTTGAACCTCTTTTCTAACAGCAATCACTTCTCACACTCTCTCCGTCATTACTCACTGCTGCAGCCAATATCTGCCATTTCTTTCTTCTCAGGCTTCAATTCTTCTCTTAATTTGTTTCTGGTCTTCCCCTCCTCCTCCTTAACTATAATTCATACAGAGTTACGCTGACTCATTCAAGCTGTTTCTCTTCTGTTAGATTTGATTCACACCTCAGAGAGGCCCGGGACGGCCTGTAGAGAAACTAAATCTTCAGCTTAAAGGCGACTTAAAGGAGAGGGCGGAGGTTACTTAGTCACTATTCACAGTCACCCCTCACAAAAACCAACCCTGCTTCTCTAAATCTCTCCATATATTTTTCCCCTCAGCGTGTTTTGGACGTATTTTGCAGCGATGTCTGAAAAGTCTCTGGATATTGTTCTTGGAGATGAGGGCTCCTCGGCTCCCCGGTTGGTCCGAGAGCGTTCTGGGTGCAGCTTGACAGCTTTGGTGATTAATGATGACAGACTGTGGAGCTGCTCTTTCATCAAATGACAAGCCTTTAACCTCTCTATCAGGCTAAATCAGAGCCAAAAATCAGCTAAAAGAAAGAGGGGAGAGTCTCTTTCTCTCTCCGTCAGAGATAGTGGCGCTGTCTTTTGCATTAAAACTCTTAAGCTAAGTCACATATTAGGAACATCTGTCCTCGTACTTCCTCTGAATTCTGTAGATAGAAGATTGCTTCCCAGAAATAGACTCCTCTGCTTTCATTTTGCCTTCCCTCCAATTTTATCACTTCATCCATCATCCTACTATGTGGGCTTTTCAAGTGGTCCAAAAATAAAGAGAACACAGATGTCAGCCATGCTATACTGATGTTTCTAAACCGCCATAAAACCCATAACTTACATCCACCCACGGACGCAGAAAGAAAACGTCGAGAGTGGACTTTTCTCGCTTCCAGAAAAACACTCAAAACTTCCAAACAAGAACATGCCGAGACACCGCAGTGCTTGTGTGTTAAATCGCCCGAATCCAACGTTAAGCCGCCTGCACTTGAGCAGGTAATTTTAAGTCCTCAAAACGGCACTTTTCCACCTTTCTTTCCTCGTTCTCTTACCCT